CTGGTGCTCTTTTTCGATTATCGGCCTGCATGGTTACCTGTGCTGATAAGCTCTCTGTGGTCACCTATGCTCTCCTGTGCTGGGCAAACAGGAAATAAAATTCAAATGTTCGCGGGGCTTTTCCTGTCTACCTGGCCAGTGCATCTGAGTTCAGATTGCTGTCCAGAGCGGTCGCAATGGTGCACTGTGGGATAGCTCCCGGAGGTCAATACCATCGAATTGCGGCCACACTAACCCTAATTCGAAATGACAATATCGATTTCTGAGCTACTCTGCTCGTCAGGGAGGAGTACAGAAATCGATTTTAAGAGCCTTTTATTTCGAAATAAATGGCTTTGTTGTGTGGACGGGTGCAGGGTTAATTCGATTTAATGCTGCTAAATTCGAATTAAACTCATAGTGTAGACCAGGCCCCAGTGTCATCCGCGAACTTGCTGAGGGTGCAATCCATCCCATTCTCTAGATCATTAATGAAGATGTTGAACAAAACCGCCCCCAGGACAGACCCCTGGGGCACTCCTCTTGATCCCATCTGCCAATTAGACATCGAGCCATTGGTCACTACCTGTTGAGCCTGACGATCTAGCGGGCTTTCTATCCACCTTATAGTCCATTCATCCAATCCATCCTTTTTTAACTTGCTGGCAAGAATACTGTGGGAGACCGTATCAAAAGCTTTGCTAAAGTCAAGGTATATCATGTCCACCGCTTTCTCCATAGCCACAGAGCCAGTTATTTCATCATAGAATGCAATCAGGTTGGTCAGGCATGACTTGCCCTTGGTGAATCCATGTTGACTGTTCCTGATCATTTTCCTCTCCTCCAAGAGCTTCAAAATGGATTCCTTTAGGACCTGCTCCATGATTTTTCCAGGGACCGAGGTGAGGCTGACCTGTCCGTAGTTCCCCAGATTCTCCTTCTTCACTTTTTTTAAGATGAGCACTATTTTTTGCCTCTTTCCAATCATCAGGGACCTCCCCTGATAGCCATGAGTTTTCAAAGATAATGGCTCTGCAGTCACATCAGCCAGCTCCCTCAGCACCCTCGGATGCACTAGATCCGGACCCATGGACTTGTGCATGTCCAGCTTTTCTAAATAGTCCTTAACCTGTTCTTTTACCACTGAGGGCTGCTCACCTCCTCCCCATACTATGCTGTCCAGTGGAGCAGTCTGGGAGCTGACCTTGTCTGTGAAGACCGAGGCAAAAAAAAGCATTGAGTACTTCAGCTTTTTCCACATGATCTGTCACTAGTTTGCCTCGCCTATTCAGTAAGAGTCCCACACTTTCCCTGACCATCTTCTTGTTGCTAACATACCTGTAGAAACCCACCTTGTTACCCTTCAGACCCCTTGCTAGCTGCAACTCCAGTTATGCTTTGGCCTTCCTGATTATACCCCTGCATGCTTGAGCAATATTTTTATATTCCTTCCTAGTCATCTGTCCAAGTTTCCACTTGTAAGCTTCCTTTTTGTGTTTAATATCACCGAAGATTTCTCTGTTAAGCCAAGCTGGTCGCCTGCCATATTTGCTATTCTTTCTGCACGTTGGGCTGGTTTGTTCCTGCGCCCTCAGTAAGGCTTCTTTAAAATACAGCCAGCTGTCCTGGACTCCTTTCCCCCTTATATTAGCCTCCCAGGGAATCCTGCCCATCAGTTCCCCGGAGGAGCCAAAGTCTGGTTTTCTGAAGTCCAGGGTCCATATTCTGCTGTTATCCTTTCTTCCTTTTGTCAGGATCCTGAACTTGACCAGCTCAGGGTCACCGTTGCCCAGGTTGCCACCCACTTCTACTTCCCCTACCAATTCTTCCCTGTTTGTGAGCAGCAGGTCAAGAGGAGCATGGCCCCTCGTTGGTTCCTTCAGCACTTGCACCAAGAAGTTGTCCCCAACACTCTCCAAAAAACTTCCTGGGTTGTCAGTGCACTGCTGTATTTCTCTCCCAGCAGATGTCAGGGTGATTGAAGTCCCTCATGAGAACCAGGGCCTGTGATCTGGAAACTTCTCTTAGTTGTCCGAGGAAAACCTCGTCTACCTCATCCTCCTGGTCTGGTGGTCTATAGCAGATGCCCACCACAACATCACTTTTGTTGCTCTTGTCTCTAAACATAACCCAAAGACTCTCAACAGGCTTTTCTCCAGTTTCATGCTGGTGTATTTACAGATGCACTTATAGCTTCTAAACTGTGTTTCGTCCAGCCTGTGACTCGCCATCATGGCTGCCACATCTCTTACCCCATTCTTCCTTCCTGGTTCTGCCCTAATCTGATTGCAGTTCTCCAATGTGCTGTCCTGTTTACGTGAATACTAATTAAAGTTGTAGGCTAGGAATAGTAATCACTGTGCCCTATTTAGGGGTGAAGCTGTTCTCTATAGGGAAGAGTCACTGCTGTATTATAACATATTCTGTTACTATGCTATTTTCAAGAATTATTACAGATTACAGAAGGCCAGTGGTAGAACTAGTTTTGTGAGTAAATATTTTAAAATAGACTAAATAGAGCAAAGTAAATTGCCATCCTGATTGCCTCAAAACAACTTTTAGCTGCTTTTATTATAGATTTCAAAGGACTAAAGCAAATTCAAACTATAAATTAGTCAGTGGTGGTGTAAAGGGCACATCTGTTTAGATTGCACAATAAAAGGTGAAACAATATTATTGTGAATTGATTTATGCTATTAGACATCTGCTGTATCAAATTAAATATTATTTTTTGTAGCAGTACAAACAATATAATAATTTATTCTCTGTTGCTGTTTGATTATCTGTAGTGAATCAGACACAAAGAACATCACTCTTAACTCTCTCCAATATTAACACCTTTCTTCTTATTTCTTAATGTTTAAATGTATTCTCTGAAAATTCTACAAGGATATACTTTACTTTAATCTTTTCACACTAGCATGATTTTAACATTGCAAGTAGGTGTTAAGTGTCCAGAGTATAGTGTGGAAGTATAACACAACTAGCTATTGAATTTTAGATCAATATAGATTTTAAATATTTTTCAGTATTGGACCCTGTTAAATAAAGGATTCAAATGGTTCTGCGATTTACATCTCCTGTTGTAAAGCAAGTATGTTAAGAATATTGGAAAAGTCTTTGTGCATATGAAATACTTTGTACTCTTACAGCATCTTGCTTCTGAAAATAAAATGCATTTTATAGAAATTAAAAAATTAAGCCCCTTAATATCCTTGCAAGATAGGAAAATATTATCCCCATTTTACAACTAGGGAAATAGAAGCAGAGATGAGTTAAGGTTGGGATTTTTAAAGTGACCTAAAAGAGGACAGTGCTCAATATCCATGGAAATTGAATTTTATTTCTTTTAGGTCCCTTTGAAAATTGCTGCCTTAATCTAATTGACTTGTCCAAAGAAGTCAGACAGTAGCAGATCCAGGAAAGTCTTTTTCATCTGAGTCCTGTGCATAAACTGCAGATGATCCTTTTTCCACCTGCAAGATGATGACACTGCTGTCTTCTTAGAGGAGGGTGTTAACTGGAGGCACTGACTATGCTCTTAACAATGTAGTGGCTAACTCCAGAATGGTCCTAGCTGTTGTCAAGTAAGCCGCCTAAACAGAAGAGTTTTTATGTATGAATCATTTAAATCATTGGCGAAGAAAGGAAATAATGGACTCTCCAATTGAGACTTTTTCAGTTGTACAGAATGCTTGGGGAATGGAATTTCTCTGGTGGTTAAGATGCTTGTAGAGTGTAGTAATATGACCAGGCAAAAATAATTTTTAGGATTGAGAGTAAGCCATGGACATAGCTATATTATTAAACTACTCCTATTTCATTTTCATTATTCCTACATCTAAGAAATACATATTCTGCTTCCTAAGGAGTCTCTAATCTCACTATGGTATACAAGGAAATGAAATAAGAATTCTGGCAAGGAATACTGGAGTGCATTAGTAATTTATGCCCTGGATAAAGCAAAAATGCTATTTTAACTCAAATCCAGTAAACTTTTGAGCTACAAAATTTTTTAAAGGAATTTTATAATCCATAACATTTTAATGTCATTGACAAATTTTGAAATTGGCTCTTGATTATATGGGGGTCTCTATTGTATTTTATTTTAATAAAAATAGAAATCCACTCGCAAGTTTCATTCAGACCATTGTAGGATTTGTCTGTCCTGATGTGTAAATGTAATAGTTTACACTGTGATATTTATCACAGCATAAGCTACAGTGTTGTTACTTGTAAATTTGTTGAATGGGGGAAAGTTTCATGCTGTGATTTTTGTCTTTCTACAGGCTCAGCAGAAGGTTTGGGGAAAATAATTCAGAGGTTTCCTCAGAAGGATTGGGATGACACTCCCTTTCCACAGGGAATAGAGTTGGTAAGTTCATATTAACTTGTATTTTATAAACTTCTTAGAGAAGGAGCCGGAAAATGTAGTTCCCTGGGTGCATTCATCTAGCCTGACATGGTATTGAACAAGATCATGTTAGTGGGATGTAGATAATGTCTTTGAGATTCGTTTTCGGTTAGCAGAAGATACAGGAAAAAATATTCTTTCCGTTCACAGATGTAACTGAAATGTAAGAAGTAGAAAAATGATTTCTAAATATGGTTGCTTGAAAGTTTAAAACAATTTAAAAAAAAATAGTTGGAAAATTTAATAAGAAATGTCAGTATTTTTTTTGGTAAAATGAATGTGTGTCTAATATGCAGAATAAAATATGAATAATTTTAGATTTAATTTTCATCTTTAACCATTGCAGAACATTGTTGTTTTTATGTATGAAAAAGAATTATGAAAAGAGGTTCATTCAGTAATAAAAATACAAATTTAGGATGTACAATGTAACTGTGCAGGGAGATCTTATTAACAAATTATTACTAAAATGTAACAAAAACTTATTAGTAAGATATATGTCTGACTGCATTTCTATGGTGGCTGAACAAACATGGCATGCTGTTATCTGGTACAACTGCATGACTTGTCTTGTGATAGTGCTTACCAGTACAAACTTTTTTTTACCCTTTAATATCTACTGCTGATAGAAGTTATTTGTTAATTTAAAATTCAGTACATACATGCAATTGAAATCCAGACTTAAACATACTGAGTTGCTTTAAGAGCTACAGATAGACGATTACACAAGTATTTGTGTGGGTTTTTTAGGGGAGATGGCGAGTTAGATTATTTGATAAATGTATTATGATTTTGTTGGAGCTAGAGCATACGCTGAAAGCAAGTTATCCATGGAATTTTGTTGTGGAACAGAAAAGAGAATTTTTTGCGGTCATGATGGTATGAAACATTGGTATCTATTCAATAACATTTAAGACTGGTGCATTATAAAGTGCTTAAGGAAGTTTAATAGATGAACTATAGCTTGAGATAAAATAATGGATATATTTGTCCAAGCAATCTCTCTCCTTCCTCCCCTCCCTAGCCCTTCACCAGAATAAAAACTATATTCTATCATGAGAAATTTTAGGAGAGTAAGAAATGCATATTCTGGAATATCATAGGCTGAAATATGAGCTTTCTAACCAAATTTGAAATAGATATGAAAATGCTCAGTCATAGAGAAGCAAGGCTGTAATATCTTTCCATGTGTGCAAAAGTCTAAAATTAATGGTTTTATGTTGTTTTCATTGTGTTGAAAATTTCCCTGTAAAGCAATCCAAATGATATTCTGTAAATTGGTTGTTAGAGTAGTAGTATAATTTCTGTCTCTTCTCTGATTCTTGGACTACAGTCTCTTTTCTATTATTAGCATCACATGTCCCCCAAATCACTTTCTCTTAGTCTCTATGCATATCTCCTGGAATACCAATAGCAGGCAGTTGCAGCAAAGTTGTCTTCTCTCTTTTCTTTCCACTCAGCATTAGTTATAAAATATCAATGAAATAGTAATACATCTGCTCGGAATTTGAACTGCTAACTTCATTAACATTGTACTAACTCTGTTCTAGCCATTCACATGTTGAAAAATGTTAAGATTCCCCCTCCCCCCCGATCAGTTTGTTTAACACCTCATGCATTATACTGCAGTATGTGCAGAACCTGGCTAAGAGACGGCAGCACAAGGATGATTGTGAGGAGGACATGGACACAGACGTTCCTGAAAGCACGGGATGTGGCAATTGGGACATCAGGGCAGCAGTGGGGCTGGTTGATACAGTGGAATGCCAATTCTGGGCCTGGCAAACAAGCACAGACTGGTGGGACCGCATAGTGTTGCAGGTATGGGATGATTCCCAGTGGCTGTGAAACTTTCGCATGCGTGAGGTCACTTTCCTGGAACTCTGTGAGTTGCTTTCCCCCAGTCTGAAGCGTAGGAATACCAAGATGAGAGCTGCCCTGACAGTTGAGAAGCAAGTGGCGATAGCCCTGTGGAAGCTTGCAACGCCTGACTGCTACCGGTCAGTCAGGAATCAATTTGGAGCGGGCAGATCTACTGTGGGGACTGCTGTGATTCAAGTAGCCAATGCAATCACTGACGTTCTGCTATCAAGGATAGTGACTCTGGGAAATGTGCAGGTCATAGTGGATGGCTTTGCTGCAATGGGTTTCCCTAACTGTGGTGGGGCAATAGATGGAACGCATATCCCTATCTTGGCACCCGACCACCTTGCCAACCAGTACATAAACCGCAAGGGGTACTTCTCAATGGTGCTGCAAGCACTGGTGGATCACAAGGGATGTTTCACCGACATCAACATGGGATGGCCGGGAAAGGTGCATGACGCTCGCATCTTTAGGAACTCCGGGCTGTTTGAGCAGCTGCAAGAAGGGACTTACTTCCCAGACCAGAAAATTACTGTTGGGGATGTTGAAATGCCAATAGTTATCCTTGGAGACCCAGCCTACCCCTTGCTCCCATGGCTCATGAAGCCATACACAGGCAACCTGGACAGTAGTAAGGAACAGTTCATCGATAGGCTGAGCAAGTGTAGAATGGTGGTAGAATGTGCCTTTGGACATTTAAAAACTCGCTGGTGCTGTTTGCTGACTAGGTTAGACCTCAGCACAACCAATATTCCCATTGTTATTACTGCTTGCTGTGTGCTTCATAATATCTGTGAGAGTAAGGGGGAGATGTTTATGGCGCGGAGATTGAGGCAAATCGCCTGGCGATTAGAAGAGCACAGATAGGCGCACTGCGCATCAGAGAGGCTTTGAAAACCAGTTTCATGACTGGCGAGGCTACGGTGTGACAGTTGCGTGTGTTTCTCCTTGATGCAAACCCGCCCCCTTTGTTGATTTTAATTCCCTGTAAGCCAACCACCCTCCCCCCTTCGATCACAGCTGGCAAAGGAAATAAAGTCACTATTGTTTTGAAACCATGCATTCTTTCGTTATTAATTTTTTTTAAAAAAGGGAGATAACCAATAAGGTAGCCCGGGTGGGGTGGGGTGGGAGAGCAGGGGAGGAGGGAAGGACAAGGCCACATTGCTTATTGTAGCCACACTACAAATCAAAACTGTTTGAATGACAGCTTTCCGTTGCTTGGGCCATCCTCTGGAGTGGAGTGGCTGGGTGCCCGGAGCCTGCCCCCCCCGTGTTCTTGGGTGTCTGGATGAGGAGGATATGGAACTTGGGGAGGAGGGCAGGTGGTTGTACAGTTGATGCAGCGGCAGTCTGTGCTCTTGTTGGCTTTCCTGCAGCTCCACCAGATGCCTGAGCATGTCCGTTTGCTCCCCCATTAGCCTCAGCATTGCATCCTGCCTCTTCTCATCGCGGTCACTTAATGCTTTCCTGGACTCTGCCACTGAATGCCTCCATGCATTCAGCTGTGCCCTATCAGTGCGGGAGGACTGCATGAGCTCGGAAAACATGTCATCGCGAGTGCGTTTTTTTTCCGCCTTCTAATCTGCGATAACCTCAGGGACAGAGATGATAGGGGGAGCATAGAATCATTTGTACCTGCGGGGGGATAAAAACAGAGAGTAAAATTTAAGGTGGTACATTCTGAGAACAAAAGGGAGACTCTTTCATAGTGAATCAAGCAATTCACAGCAGACAGCACATGTGCTTTAGGTACAAGGTCGCATTTTGCCTTTTATATTGAGCGCCTGCTGGTATGGTGACACATCACACACGGCTGGGCAACAGAATTCGGTTTCCAGGCAGCCATGGTAAGCCAAAGGGTATGCGGGTTTGGCTTCTAACGCCTTCATAACATGTGGGAATGTTTTCAAACTGCAGCATCCTTCTTTCCCATAGCAAGCAATGCCGGCTGGGTTTGCCATTTAAAAGGAGGGGCTGCAGTTTTCGGGTGGATGTGCAGCACACACCTCCCGCCACCCCTCCGCGTGGCTATTTGGGATGATCCCTTTACCCCTCCCCCCGCCGCGTGGCTATTCTCAGGGATGAACCCTTTTCACCAAGCGCAAACAGCCCAGCATGAATGGGGTCCTTTTACTGTTCCCTTACAAAAATTCCCTTATTTCAACCAGGTGACCATGAATGAGGCTAACAGATATAGACTGAATGTTGCTTGAATGTGACCAAACCCAGGACCATTCGCTGCCATGCTTGGTGCTGCAGTGATTCCAGACTACTTGCTACTGGTTTGGTGTGGTAAAGTATCCTACCGTGGAGGACGAAATAAGGCAGCCCTCCCCAGAAACCTTCTGCAAAGGCTTTCAGAGTCCCTCCAGGAGAGCCTCATGGAGATGTCCCTGGAGGATTCCCGCTCCATCCCCAGACACGTTAACAGACTTTTCCAGTAGCTGTACTGGCCGTGAATGCATCCCAAGTCTTCAGGGCAAATCAAACATTAAACATTGTTGCTTTTAAACCCTGTATTGTAGTTACAAATGTGCACTCACCAGAGGTGCCTTCTCCGGCTTCAGGGTCGGAGATCCCACCTTGGGAGGGTATTGGCTCCAGGGTGATGAAAAGGTCCTGGCTGCCGGGGAGAATGGATTCACCACTTGCCTGCTGCGCATTCTCCTCCTCTTCCTCATCCACAAAATCATCCTCCGTGTTGCGTGAGACTCCCCCCTTGCAAGTGTCCATGGACAGTGGTGGGGTAGTGGTAGAATCCCCCCCTAGAATGTCATGCAGCTGATCATAGAAGCGGCATGAATGGGACTCTGACCCAGAGTGATTGTTTGCCTTCTTTGTCTTTTGTTAGGCTTGCCTGAGCTCCTTGACTTTCACGCGGCACTGCTGAATATTCTTGTTGTAGCGTCTGTCCATCATGTCCTGTGCGATTTTGGCATATATATTAGCATTTCTTCTTTTTGATCGGAGTTCTGCGTGCACAGATTCTTCTCCCTATACAGCAATCAGATCCAGTGTCTCCCGTTCGCTCCATGCTGTAGCTCGTTTGCTATTCTGGGGGGACTGCATGGTCACCTGTGCTGCTGAGCTCG